CCCCGATAGCGAATCCGCACGGTCCCGAGCGGGGCGAGCGAAGCAGGCCCCTTTCGGCGAAAAGTGGGCGATCGGGGGTCGATGGACCCCCCCCCCGGCCTATCTCTCCCTGGCGTTGCCTCTGAACCTCTCCGTCTGCGATCTGGGATCGAGCTTTTCGGAGCGAGCCGGTACTGCAAGCAAGCGCATTCGAGTGCAGAATCGGTGGCCCAGGATTGTCGCTGATGGTTCTCGCGCCTTGAGCCTCTGCCTGGCTGGAAAAAAAGCACCAACAGCTCGCGCACCATCAGCGGATCCCCCCCGCTCCCCCCCCCCCGAGGAGCCAGGATCTGAGGAAGTAGAACGTCGCGTGTTGCTAGAAGTGCCCTTGGCCCAAGGTGCCCCCAGAATTTCCAAGGACGCCAGCAAGGCCTCCATAGCACCCCTCACGCGGCCCAGAGGCTCCAAAATGGAACGACAACCTGGGGGCACCATGGACCAGGGGCACCTTTGCAGCAACCCCCGAGAAACGGGGGGACTGGCTGAGGGCGGACGGAGCTTTGTGGGCCCCCAGTGGGGAGACCCAGCGCTCCTGGACAGGTCGGGGCCTCTGGGCCCCCAATCGGCGAGGTATGGGCGATTGGGGGGTCGATGCTTTGTACCAGACTCGAACTCATCCCTGTCCCTAAGGCAAGCCAAAAGCGACGACAATCCCAGGGATGAGCCCTCAGAAACTGAGGGAGTCCCTGAGATCGGCATCCAGGTGAGGTGATGCCAAGCATAGGGATAGAGACATGTCTCAGACTGGCAAGCGTTCTCGCCTCAGCCAGTCCGCCCTAGTTTGCGGCGCTCCTCAGAATCCAAGGCATCCGACGATGCTAGGTGAGTTTGTTCGGAAGCTCATTCTAACACATACACACAAACACACACACACACACACACACACACACACACACACATACATACACACACACACAAACACACACACACACACACACACACGCGCACACACCACCTCTGTCAGTAGCCTTTAGTGGCCTTGAGTGGCCTGTGGTGTACTATGAGCGGCCATGAGTGGGCGTTTAGCGGCCTTCTAGCGGCCTTTAGCGGCCTTCAGCGGCCTTCGGCGGTCTTTAGTGGCCTTCAGCGGCCTTTGGTGACCTCTACAGGCGCAAAGAAGTCAACTACGCATCCGTAAAACACACCGAAACGACGCTTGTCTGTACGCTCGCGGCCCGTTTCTCTCAATTCGGCCTCTCGCTGGCCATCGCTCGGACGTCCACTTTCCGGGTTTGTTTGTTCGGTGTCTTTGCGTGTTTTTTGCTTTGCTCGATGGTCCAGGACGATCCTCGGAGGAGGAGGGGGGGAGGAAGAGGAGGAGGAGGAGGAGGAGGAGGAGGAGAGGAGAGGAGGAGGAGGGAGGAGAGGAGGGGGAGGAGGAGGAGGAGGAGAGGGAGGAGGGGGAGGGGAGGAGGAGGAGGAGGAGGAGGAGGAGGAGGAGGAGGAGGAGGAGGAGTCCTCACCGAGAAGGGATGCGCACGTCCGAGCGATGCCAAACTCTCGGGGCCGCCGTCGGGCCGCAGGGCCATCCAAGCGAGACCTCAGGAGCGAAAAGCTCCTCCTCCTACTCCTCCCCCTCCTCCTCCTCCTCCTCCTCCTCTTCCTCCTCCTCCGCCTCCGCCTCCTCCTCCTCCTCCTCGTCCTCCTCCTCCTCCTCCTCCTCCTCCTCCTTCTCCTCCTCCTTCTCCTCATCCTCGAGACTTCTGGGGCGCGGCCTGAAACACAACCATCGTCGGATGTCTGTGATCGGGCCCAGACTCCCTCGTCGCCGTGGCGACAACAGGATGGGTCTCTGCCAGTCCTCGCGCACGGGGCCCTGGGAGCGTCCAGGGGCAACCCAGGAAAGGAGGCCAGTCTCCAGGAAGGAATCGAGGCCTCGGGGGCCCATGTTGAAAAAAGGCGCGACGTCGGGACCTGGGAATCCGTAAAATGCGTCTAACTCCTTTGCAGAGGCCTCTGGAGGCCTCGAGGAGCCGCAAGAAACTCCCCGAGGCATCCGAACGCCGCTGGGTCCCCCCGTCACATTTCCCCTCGCCCCACCCGTCCTCCTCTTCCTCTCCCTTCGCCCCTTCCCTCATGCATCATCCCTCGCTGATAAGCCCATTGCACGGTCCACTCCACTCCTCTCCCCCCGCTCCAAGAACATCATCACACAGCCGCCCTCGCTCTAACTCAACGAAAGCCTCCCGTTTCGCGCACCCTCCCTCCCTACCGCTCCATTGCCTCCCACTCCCCGACAAAAAAATGTAATTGGCGGAGGGCCATCGCCGAGACTGCCCTACGGGCCCGCCTAGGGCGCGCCCCCGATTGAATTGCACGTGCTCGCCACGCTTGCATTGTATTCTCGATGGGGGGAAGACGAAGAGGGGAGGATCGGAAGGAAGGGACGCGGACTCCTGGTGAAAACGCGAGCTGGATCCCCTGGGTCCGTCCCAGGGAACGGCGTCTGATCCTGAGCCGTGGGGCCCAAACGAAAGACCCCAGGAGCCCGGAAAGGGCGAATAGAAAATCCAGGGCAGGTCTCCTCCAAGACTCCTGCCCTGATAGCTGAAAAGAAAGGCTGCATCAACATACAGTCGAGGCGTTGACCTAAGGAACCCTAAATAAGGAACGAGGCCCCTTTTTCCCATAAGTTAAACCTCGATTTCCCATGGAAAACCTCAAGAAAACCCGAGGCAAACTGTAAAACAATCAAGGAACACCGAGCCCCTCCCCAACGAAAAGGGTTCCTTCTTCAGGGCCCCGACTGTAATCATTCCAGGGTTCGCCTGGACCTCCCAGACCAGTGCTGGACCCCCGACCTGACGCGCAACGCGCGCAACGGGGCCCCAGGGTCGCGACGCATCGCCGATGCATCCGCGATGCATCAGCGGCGAATCGGCGACGTCGGGACGGGGAAAAGCGGTGTCCGAATCGAGCCCTATCGCAGCTGCATCAGCGATATGGCGTTGGATGCTCGTTCTGGGGACCTTCCTGGAGCCACTCGCTCCACTCGTGCGTCGAAGCTGCATCGAACGTCAGTCGAGTTGGGTCGACCCTGAGTCGAACCTGAGTCGAACCTGAGTCGAACTTGAGTCGAACTTGAGTCGAACTTGAGTCGAACTGGGGTCGAACAGATCCGTTAGGTGGGCTCCAGGAAGGTCCCCGAAACGAGCATCGAAATGGCGGGATCTGCTGACCACCAGCTATTTTGACCCCACTTGAAACGGCGGGTATGGCGACCCGAATCCCAGACTTGGTACGGTTTTCGGCTACACGATAGGCTTAGGGCCAAACTCGGGGATCTACGACAGGGGGCGTTCATCCTCGATACGGGGTGCATCAAATCTCTTTCCCTGGGGGGGTATCCCCGAGTGTTTCCTCATTCCTGAGCGGCCAGCTTTGGGGGGACGAAACTTTCGGTCGGGCATGTCCTCCTACAGGCGGGAATTTGGATGAAAAATCAAGAAAATCCAAACCTGCAAGGAAAGAACACGAGAAGTCGTCACCTGACTATTTTTTGCCTATTCTCGGATATTCCGCCTGTAGAGGGACAGGCCCGACTTAAAGGGAGCTCTGGGATTTTGAGACGCGAGAGGTCGCCTGCGAGAGGAGGGAGGGAGGAAGCAGTGTCAGTGCGGCGGGAAGCGCTGCGCAGCCTGCCGAGCGATGCAAGACGAAGCCAGGACGAGGACAACATCGGGCGAGGATGAATCGAAGATCTCTTAGATCTGGCGGCTCGGGAAGATGCCTCAGAGATCTGGCGGCTCGAGATCTGGCGACTCGGGAACCTCTCGGTCGAGATGTGGGGGCTCGGGAATCTCTGAGATCTGGCGGCTGCGGCCCTCTCAGAGCGCTCCGGAACGCTCTGAGAGCGCTCCGGGAAGTTGTAGGTCGGGAGTGTTCCCCTACAGGGGGGGATTTTGGGCGAAAGATTAAAAATACCCCAAAAAAACTAAACGTAGTCCAAAAATAGTCCCCAGGCTATTTTGTTTGCTATTTGGGGATATCGTCCCTGGAGAAGGACGGGCCAGACGTGAGGAGGAAAGGTCTGAAACTTTGTGGGCCCCGGAAACGGCAGGGCCGTTTTTTCACCCTTCCCCCCAAAAATGTCCCTTGAAAATGGAAACGGCAAAAAAACGGCGACCAGAAACGGCAAAAAACGGCTCCAGGATTGGAGCCGGAGCCGGAACAGGTCAAGAAACGGCGACGGAACCGGTAAAAAAACAAAAAACAAAAAAAAAAAAAAAAAAAAAAAAAAAAAAAAAAAAAAAAAAAAAAAAAAAAAAAAAAAAACGGCGTCGGAAGCGGCAACAAAAACGGCAGAACGGAACCGGTAAAAAAACGGCACTAAGGTCTTTTGGGCGAAAAGTGAAAAATACCCCCCCAAAAAATGCCCCCAAAATGCTCAGAAGTAGTCCAAAAAACAGTCCCTAGGCTTTGTTTGCTATTTGGGGACATTCGCCCTGGAGAGGGACAGGCCAGCCAGACCTTTGTGGGCCCCGGAAACGGCAGGGCCGTTTTTTCACCGTTTCCAAAAAAAAAATCCTACGGAACCGGTTAAAAAACGGCGTCGGACCCGGCAAAAAAACGGCAAAACGGAACCGGTAAAAAACGGCGTCGGAACCCGCGAAAAACGGCAAAACGGAGCCGGGTAACAAAAACGGCCCTGCCGTTCCCAGGGCCCACTATAGCCCCAGGCTATTTTTGTTTGCTGTTTTGGCATATTCCCCCTGGAGAGGAACAGGCCAGACGTAAGGCAAGGTCCGGAGCGGTCGTGTCTCGGGGATCTTCTGACCCGGGTCAATCCAGACCCGGGTCAGCAGGAAACCAAAAACTGCAATGCAGGAAAAAAAGCTGCACCGCAGGTCTTCGCAAACCCGGGTCAGCCAATATAGAGGCCTCCTAGATGGGGTCGGAGTAGATGGGGTCGGTGGATCGCACCGTATCGCCGATACATCGGCGATGCATCGGCAATGCATCGGCGACGCATCGGCGACGCACCAGCGATGCATCGTCGACGTCGTCGCTTCATCGGCGACGCCGGCGCGAAGAACATCGGGCCCCGCATCGAGCCGCATCGCCGATGCATCGGCGATGCGACGCGATCCTCCGACCCCATCTACTCGGACCCCATCTAGGAGGCCTAGACAATAGGCGCGGCCGCCTCGCGGCCACGAGCGGCTCCCTAACCCGGGTCAGCCAGAGGGGGTCGTCGCAGGATCCTGCAGGATCCGGCGCCCTGGCTGACCCCCGTCTGCACTGACCCCCGTCTCTTAGGCCCCGTCGTGTCCTCGCCCTGGCCCCGTCCGGCGATGGGCCGCCGCTCAGGCGCCCCCCGCGCGGGCTCCTCCGTGGGGCAATGCCGGCAGGGGCGCCGCTGGCCCGCCCTCCCCCTTGTTCTCCCGCCCATGGCACCGTACAGTCGGAGCGAGGAGCGAGGAGGAGGAGCGAGGAGGAGGAGGAGGAGGAGGAGGAGGAGGAGGAGGAGGAAGAGGAGGAGGAGGAGGAGGAGGAGGAGGAGGAGGGGGGGCACCATGGGCCAGGGGCACCTTCACAGCAGCCCCCGAGACACGGGGGAGCTGGCCGAGGGGGGGACGGAGTGGCCCGGAGGGGGCGATACCTCGCCGACAGGTCGGCGATGCCGTCGGGGCGCTGGCCTAAGGAACCCTAACTGAGAAACGAGGCCCCTCGTTTCCCCAAAGTTCAACTTCGGTTTCCCATGGAAAACTAAAAAGGGAAACTGTAAACCAATCGAGGAACACCGAGCCTCTCCCCAACGAAAAGCGTTCCTTCTTGAGCGCCCCGACTGTAGGGCACGGACGGCGGCACTGCTGGTGCCTCTGCTGCACCGTGGCCACGCAGGGGCGACGATAGGGTCGTGCGCGCTGGTCCACCGCCCCTGGCGGGGCCCCTGGTGTGCCCTTTGGCCCGTCTGTGACCACCTACCAGACCACCCCCAACCCAACCCGAAGACCCGAATTTCGGGTTGGGGGAGGGGGGGGCACGGGCTTCATGTGTGTTTGTTCGATGTTCCCGGACCCCCCCACACTGGAAATGGAGGGAAAATTGAGGCCTTCGGGTTGGATTGGGGTGGTTTGGTGGGTGGTGAGTTTGTATGCCTCCCTGGCCAAGCCAGCAGGGGGAAGAACAGAACGGTGCGGGTGCCGATGCCGCTGCTCCACACTCCCGGGGTCCACTCTGACCGGGGCGAGTAGTCGGAAGAAGCAGGTAGGAGCATGAAGTGGGAAGGCGTTTCAAATAGATTGGGTGTCCGCCAGCTTCCGACAGAGGACGGAAAAGGTGAAGCCACTCGAACACTGAAGTAGGAAGGCGCTGACAGCAGCTTGGGATCTGGGAGTCCCAAAATACACACTTTCGACGACCGATGGGTAAGGCATCCAGCAGCGGCGACGGCGGAGAGGTAGCGCGATCGGTGTCGCTTCCTCCCCAGTCTGAAGCAGGGCCGTCATGCACCGACTGGGCCCACGGTGGGCCTGCCCAGGGGCAGCAGAAGCGTACAGTCAAAAACCCTAAGAAGGACGCGCGGTATGGACGCAAGACCCTTGGAAGCCGAAGTTGGGATGTTCGGGGCGGCGGACGACGAAAACCTCAAGGACGCACGAGCAAGGAAGAGCAAGGACGCGAGGGTACCCTGAGCAAAGTCGCGCGTCCATACTCGGATTTTTGATTGTATTGTCGTCCTCGTCGTCGTCATGGTCGTCGCCCTCGTTGACGATGGCATGATCCTCCGCACCTTGGCCGCACTCCGCGGGCTCCACCCACCCCCCTTGAGGAAGGGCCGCGAGGGGCACGCCCCCCGCCTCCAACTCCCTCTCCCTCTCCCTCTCCCTCCTCCTCCTCCTCCTCCTCCTCCTCCTCCTCCTCCTCCTCCTCCTCCTCCTCCTCCTCCTCCTCCTCCTCCTCCCCCTCCTCCTCCTCCTCCTCCGCCTCCTCCTCCTCCTCCCTCTCCCTCTCCTCCTCCCTCTCCCTCTCAGCCTCCTGCTCCTGCTCCTCCTCCTCCTCCTCCTCCTCCTCCTCCTCCTCCTCCGCCTCATCCATGAAGAGCATCGAACCCTCCAGCTCCCGCGCGGGGGGGGGGCCAGCGCCCCCCCACCCCCGCCCTCGCGCTCCTCGCGAGGCGCCACGCGCGCCCAGCGGCGCGGGCTGCTTCGGGGGCTGCGCCGCGAGCCTGTGACAGACAGCCAATGTGAGGGCGGGGGGTTCGCCTCCTCCTCGTCCTCCTCCTCGGCCTCCTCCTCCTCCTCCTCCTCCTCCTCCTCCTCCTCCTCCTCCTCCTCCTCCCTCCTCCTCCTCCTCCTCCTCCTCCTCCTCCTCCTCCTCCTCCTCCTCCCTCCTCCCTCCTCTCCTCCTCCTCCTCCTCCTCCTCCTCCTCCTCCTCCTCCTCCTCCTCCTCCTCCTCCTCCTCCTCCTCCTCCTCCTCCTCCTCATCATCATCATCATCATCATCATCGTCGTCATCATCATCATCATCATCATCATCATCAATCATCATCATCATCATCATCATCATCATCATCATCATCATCATCATCATCATCACATCAGCATCAGCATCATCATCATCATCATCAGCATCATCATCATCATCATCATCATCATCATCATCATCATCGCATCATCATCATCTCATCGTCATCGTCATCGTCATCATCATCATCATCATCATCATCATCATCATGGTCATCAGCATCATCAGCAGCAGCAGCATCATCATCATCAGCATCATCATCATCAGCAGCATCAGCATCATCATCATCAGCATCATCATCATCATCATCAGCATCAGCATCATCATCATCATCCTCATCATCATAATCAGCATCATCAGCATCAGCATCAGCATCAGAATCCTCAGCATCCTCAGCAGCATCAGCATCATCATCATCAGCAGCATAATCAGCATCATCATCATCATCATCAACATCAGCATCAGCATCATCATCAGAATCCTCAGCATCCTCAGCAGCATCATCATCATCAGCATCATCATCAGCAGCATAATCAGCATCATCATCATCATCAGCATCAACATCAGCATCAGCAGCAGCATCATCATCATCATCAGCAGCATCATCATCATCATCATCAGCATCATCATCATCATCATCATCACCATCATCATCATCATCGTCATCATCATAATCATCATCAGCAGCAGCATCATCAGCATCATCATCATCATCAGCAGCATCACCATCATCATCAGCATCAGCATCGTCATCATCATTATCAGCATCATCCTCAGCGGCATCATCATCAGCATCATCATCGTCATCATCCTCCTCGTCATCATCAGCATCAGCACGAGAATCAGCATCCGCATCGTCATCAGCATCATCACCATCAGTCAACATCCGCATCAGTACCATCATCATCACCAGCATCATCGTCGCCACCACCACCATGATCATCGCCATCAGCAGCATCATCATCAGCATCAGCATCAGTTTCATCAGCACCAGCAGCATCAGCATCAACAACAGCATCATCGTTATCATCACAATAATCAGCATCAGCATCAGCATCAGCCCCAGAGCCTCATCGTCGTCATCATCATCATAATCATCGTCATCGGCAGCATCAACATCAATGACATCATCATCGGTAGCATCACCAGCATCATCATCAGCAGCATCAGCATCAGCAACAGCATCGCATCAGCATCGTCATGAATATAAACATCGGCATCATCAGGCTTAACAGTATGATCGCCATCATCAGCATCATCAGTACCATCAGTCTCATCATCAGCATCACCAGCATCATCATCATCATCACCATCATCACCACCATCAGCCTCATCATCCTCATCAGCATCATCATCATCACCATCAGCATCATCACCATCAGCATCATTACCATCATCAGCATCGGCCTCCTCCCCCTCCTGATCCTAAACCTACTCGTGATCCGAATCAGCCTCTTCCTCGTGCGCCACCTCCTCATCAACATACATCTCCTGCTCCCCCCTCGCCCTCATTACCTCCCACCCTCCCTCCCTCACTCCCTCATCATCCTCCACATCCTCCTTCCCTCCCTCACGTCTTCATCATCTTCCTCCGTCTCGTATTCCTCCTCCTCCTCATCCTCCTCCTCCACCTCCTCCTCCTCCTCCTCCCCCTCCTCCTCCTCCAGCTCCGTATCCTCCTCCGCTTCTCCTCCTCCTCCTCCTTCTCCCCGTGCTCATCGTCCTCCTCCTCCTCCACCTCCTCATCCTCAGCTTCCTCCTCCTACTCCACGTCCTCTGCCTCGCCCTCGTCCTCCTCCTCCTCCTCCTCCTACGTACACCTCCTCCTCCCTCCTCCTCTACTTTCCGCCCCACTCCCTCCCTCCCGCCCTCCCTTCATCCCTCCCTCCCCCTCCTTTCTCCACCTCCTCCTTCCCGCCGTCACTCCTTCGTTCTCCTCCTCCTCCTCCTCCTCCTGCTCTTCCTCTGTCCCCTCCTCCTCCTATTCCTCATACTTCTCATCCGCCGCATGCCCCTCCGCCTTCTCCTCCTCATCCTCCTCATCCGCCCCCTCGTCTTCTCCTCCTCCTCTTTCTCCTCCTCCTCCCCCTCCTCCTCCTCCTCCTCCTCCTCATCCTCCTCCTCCTCATCCTCCTCCTCCTCATCCTCCTCCGCCTCTTCTGTCCTCCTCCTCTTCCTCCTTCTCCTCCTCATCCTCATCCTCATATGTTCCACCTCCCCCATCTTCCTTGTCCTCCCCTGCGTGTAGTCATTCCTTCCCGTATTCCCTCCCACCCTCCATCCCGCCCTCTCTCCCCCCCCATTCTCTCTCCCTCCTCCTCCCTCCATCCCTCTACCTCCTCTTCCTCCTCCTCCGTTTCGTCGGCGTATTGGTGTGGTTCCTCCTCCTCATCGTCCTCATCCTCCTCCTCATCCTCCACCTCCTCCTCCTCCTCCTCCTTCTCCTATTCCTCATCCCCGTCCTCCTCCCCCGCGTCAGCATCGCCACCGCCACCATCGGCATCAGCAGCAGTTGCGTCAGCATCATCACTACTAGCACCGTCATCAACATATGCATCAGCATGATCATCGTCGCAATCACCGCCATCAACACCATCATCAGCAGTACCAGCATCATCAGCATCACCAGCATCATCATCATAACCTCATGCCCGTGAGAATAAACACTAGGGGAGAATAACGTTCGGGGTTCAGGGAGAGATAATAAAAGTAGCCCAGCAGACCTCAGCATAATCTCGAAGTAAGAGGTGATCAAGATGAGACCAAGCCGAGCACGTTTTGAGACATCCTTGGCGTTTAGTTTTCATAGAAATATCCTCATCAATGGCTTGTCTCTCATGAAAATTGTTTTTTGTAGGTGCTCGTGTAGGGTAGCTCATGTGCCTCAATTTCCATGGAGAATCAACCCCAGAGATAAAAAAGTTCAGGCGAGCGTGGGGACAGAGAGAAATATAAAAGAAGAAGAATACAGTAGAATAATAATAAGAAAGAAGAAGAAGAGGAGAATAAGAAGAGGACGAAGAAAGGAAAAATCCAAAATTCCAAATCTATCAATTTTAATTTACAAACGCTTTATGAAAATTGATTTTGTAAAGTGCTCGTGTAGGGTAGCTCATGTGCTTCATTTTCCATGGATAATCAACCCCAGGGATAAAAAAGTTCAGGCGAGCGTGAGGACAGATAGAAATAGAAAAGAAGAAGAGGAAAGTAGAAGAATAATAAGAACATTGCTCGTTTCGTTTGAGTCTGCCTCCCAAAGTTATTGGTTTCGCTTGACACATCCTGAAAAAGTGTGATCGCTTCGCTTGATGTTGCTATATCAACATCGCTTGATGTTGCTATCTCAACATAGCGTTTCGAGGTGATAATGAAGTTCGGCCTCAGCGCTCGCCGCCCAATTTGAATTGTGTATAGGGCGACGATAATCAACTCTAAACACTGAAGGGGAGGGGTCCCTTTATTATCATCGGCATGCGGTTAATCGTCATCAGGATCGTCACCATCAGAATCGACATCATCGTCATCAGCAGCATCGCTCGCATCATCATGCTCAGTAGCAGCATCGCCAACATCATCATCAGCATCATCAGCAGCAACCGTATCATCAACTTCACCATCACCATCTTCATCATCAGCGTCACCACCGTCATCACCATCATACGTCATCATCATCATCATCAGACTCAGCATCAACATCATAAGTACCACCAGAAGCAGCATAATCATCGGCACCCTCATCCGCATCAGCAACATCATCAGCAGCAGCATCAGCAGCAGCATCAGCATCAGCAGCATCACCATCATCGGTCAGCATCATCGGCGCTATCATCGTCAGCGCCGTTTTCAGCATCATCATCATCATCACCATCATCATCATCATCATCATCATCATCATCATCATCGTCACCAACATCATCAATATCATCAGCGTCATCAGCATCATCCGCATCATATCAGCATCATCACCATCACCAGCACCAGCATCAGCATCACCATCAGCATCATCGGCATCATCAGATGCACCATACTGATCATCAGCATCATCCATCCGCATCATCAGCAGCATCATCAACACCATCGTCATCATCAACATCAAGAACAACATCATCCTCATCATCACCGGCATCATCAGCCGCATCGGCATCGTCATCATCGTCGTCATCAGCATCCTCAACAATATCATCGGCATCATCAGCATCAACAGTATGATCGTCAGCAGCATCATCCTCAGCATTATCATCATCAGCATCAGCATCAACATCATCATCATCACCACCATCACCACCATCATCAGCATCATCATCAGCATCATCATCAGCATCACCAACACCGTCATCAGCATCAGCATCATCATCAGCATCAGCAGCATCATCATAGTCAGAAGTATCATCACCATCACCAGCATCATCATCATCATCAGCATTACCAGCATCTCCATCATCATCATCCTAATCGTCAACAACACCATGTCCAACCTTATCATCACCAGCATCAGCATCATCATCAGCATCATGATCATCGCCATCAGCATCATCATCATAATCATCAGCAGCATCAGCAGCATCATCATCATTATCATCACCATCCTCTTCCTCATACTCCTCCTTCTCCTGCTCCTCCTCCTCCTCCTCCTCCTCGTCCTCCTCCTCCTCCCCCCTCCTCCACCTCGGTGTTTCGTTGATGCGGACAGTGTCAAACGA